AAAATGGTAGGTAGACCCTTCACTCAGAGTTCTGGGTGGGTTTTTTTTTCCTATTTTCTTTTATTAAACACACTTTTTACCCTGGATTTGATTTTGTCATTAATTTTATGTCAGTAACACATACACTATTCTTCAGAGCATAATCTGCTTCCTGTGACTTCAGTGTTGATGTATATTGGTGTTACTAATAAATGCAGTGGTTGAATTTCAGACAGTAGAAAACGTGTGTGTGTGTCCAAGTAAATTCTGACTTCAACAGATGTAAGTTTCTCCGTGTTAGTTTTTCTATACACAAAAATTAAGTAGCCCTTGTTCCCTGAGCAATTGGTACCTGCAAAATTTTTTCACTGCATTTTAGGTAGGAAGATAGGTAAGATTTGTTCTTGACTTTCTGTATTTGTGAAAAGTTTCTGTCTCTGGCATGAAGGGTGGAGGTTCTGTTTTCATATTGTATGACTGATTCATGGAGGGGACAATGGATGCATTTTTAAGGCAGTACCGCGTAAGATGTCTGAGTGGGTGTGGCCCTCTCATAATTGATATAAAACAGATAATGCAGAATGGAACACAGACAAGTTGAGTGACTGATCACTGACATGCAATTATGGAGGGCAGGGCCCTGCACCTGGAGTTCCTTTTGAGAGAAGCTTTCTAAAATTTGTGTGACAATTTGATGGAAATAAAGTGGTGGCTTGATTGGAGGCGTGGGGGCTGTCCTGCCATCTCTCCATCTCCCTTCTGTATTGACTGGTGCCATGGGACTTGGAATGATTGACTTATGTAGCTGAAACACGAACCCGAGTTTCTGTTGAGTTGGACCTACAGACTTCTGCATTTTTCTTTGGGATCCGTCTTGCTGTTGTGGGAACACGTTGATAGTATCGCTGAATGTCACAATATTGATCACCGTGACTACCTGTCTCAGAAACTGTGACTTGAAGTGTTACAGGCTCTGTGAACTCTTCTGCCTGAACAAGCCTTGATAAAACCTAGTGATGAGAATGTCAAGGGAATCTGAGGCTTGGAATTACATGCTGGGTTTATGGAGCAGTTCTTGACAGATGAATTGATTGGAGGGGGCGGTCCTAGCCATTCTGGACACCGGGCCCACGGGCCTATTGTTACAGAAAATATATTAAGGAAAGAAGATGATAAGTTACTGACTTTTCTCCCTCCCTTCTGCCTTCATTCTTTGCAGTTTTTCCTTCCTCATTGCCTTCTCTCCCTGCTCCCTTTTCTTTTTAACTTTCATTAACTTACTAGTCAGTGACAAATGGCCAGTTTGTGACACTTAGCCTTTTTTCAAAGCTTCAGGTTAATGTTCCAAGATAATTAGCTGCATTTCAAGGTCTCCTTTATATGTGAATAGCATTGAAAGTACCAAATTGTTTATTTTGTATAACCTTCACTAATGACCAGCAGAAGTCCTTGCCGAATCAGAAGTCATGATTTCTTTGTTTAAAACACATAATAATAGGGGCGCCTGGGTGGCGCAGCCGGTTAAGCGTCCGACTTCAGCCAGGTCACGATCTCGCGGTCCGTGGGTTCGAGCCCCGCGTCGGGCTCTGGGCTGATGGCTCAGAGCCTGGAGCCTGTTTCCGATTCTGTGTCTCCCTCTCTCTCTGCCCCTCCCCCGTTCATGCTCTGTCTCTCTCTGTCCCAAAAATAAATAAACGTTGAAAAAAAAACACATAATAATAAAAGTATAGGCTCCTTTCCTGTAGAGATGAGAGGATGCTTAAGAACTTTGTTTGGTACAGCATGTAGCTAAAATTTACGAAATTTGGTAGCAGTATGCTCTCACTGCCACCCAGAACTAGTACTCCTCCAGGTCAGGGTCCTGCTGGAGTTAAAGTGACTGGTGTGTTTGCCAGCACTGCAGGACTAAGCTCTAGAACAAGACTGGACTGTGGAACTTAGAGAAGCCAGCTAAAGTGCACAACAACTCTCCCTTTATTAGCTAGTCCTTAAAAGAGTATACAGGGCTTCTGCACACCTGAATGCCTCCACTGCTAGAGCTCACCTAACTTTAGATTGTTGGTTTTCAAAATGCGGTGATAGATGTTTAAGTGACAGAAGGCGTCAGTGCTTCCCTCAGACCTTGATTTTTTTTACAAAATTTCATAGGCATACACAACTCCACACTTGGTATTCCTCTAATGTGAACATAGCAAGGAGTGCAGGAGCAATGCATTTTCTGTGTGGCACTCTGAAATATACCAGAATCTTCTTTCAAAGAAAATTTTGCCCAGTTCGTACGACCTGACCTGTGTCCAATCTGCACGGCTAATCTAAGTTTGCAAGTATTTTGATCCCTATGCCTCCCCACTGGTTCTACAGGCTTTGTTTCAAGCCCTGGGGGAGGAACAGTTGTGAATGTACTGTGACTCACTGACTCCCACTTTCGTGATTCTGGTTCTGATTGGTCGTCACCTTGTTCTAGCCATATGGCTGCCTAGTACTCTAGCCTGCATCCCTTTCTCGTTCTTTCCCTACTGTTCCCTTCTGTTGTACACAACACTGGGAGTGGGTTCCGGGCTTTGTCTCTTGCTTCTGGTTTACCCCAGTTAGGCAGTAAGTAGGAGGGTGCACTGTGTTTCCCAAGGGTGGCCGTAGAGGAAAAAATACCCTTTCCTTTTGTGCCTGGTATAGTAATTACTTCGTTTCCTGTGCTGTTTCTGTTCAAAGTTTATTTTTTGGCAGGTGTCACATTTGTATTATATTACTTCCTCATGGTTTCTCTCCTTCCCCTGAATTAAGCTATTTTTTCTTTTTCTTTTTCTTCTCTTTTTTTCTTCCTTTCCTTTCCTTTCTTTTCCTTTCCTTTCCTTTCCTTGTTTTGTAGAGGTTCTGCTACCAATTCAGCTTATTTGTTACTGTGTTTCTTTAATGCTGGTTATATGTTAGGGAGGGGAACTGAAAGCAACTGTAAATAATTATTTAATTGTTACGTGTCTTACTGTTCTGGCAGTCACCGCAGATCTACACGTGATACTCAAAATTATCTGTAGCACCATCCCTACCACTTTTCCTTCTAAACTGTATCCGTTCAATTACTCTGTCTTTTATACTGGAGAAATAGGATTTTGAAGACTTGAAAGTTAATTTTTTATAAGAATTTGATATTTTTATTAATTTGCATTTCTATTATTCTGCAGACGGCTCCTGCAAAGACTTTGGACTCTGCATCCTTTTTTTTTTCCTTTGTAATATTTAACTACTCAAAGAGGCAGTGACAGCAGAGTATAAAGTTTAGACTTCCCCTACCAAAAGTGACCTTTATATGATATTTTCATTGTCTAAAAAGTGTGATAAAAGTATAAAAAAAAAAAAGTCTCTCAAGGATGTATTTTGTACTGGGGTTCCTGGGTGTCTCCGTCAGTCGAGTGTCCAAGTTCAGCTTGGGTCATGATCTCCCAGCTCATGAGCTTGAAGCCCACATCAGACTCTCTGCTGACAGCACAACACAGAGCCTGCTTAGGATCCTCTGTCTGCCTCTCTTTCTGCCTCTCCCCTGTTTGTGTGTGCGGCCAAGCACGCACGCACGTGCTCTTTCGCTCTCTCAATAATAAATAAACATTAAAAAAAAAGGATGTATTTTGTACTGACCTAAAGTTTTTAAAAATCCATTTTGTAAATATTTTAATATTCAAATATGTTAAGCAAATAACCTTACAAGTTTGAATTCTTGGGAGAATATGTGCAGTGAAATTGGTTAGAATCATAAGCAGGAATTTGAAAATCAACCTGGCCATATGGTTTTACTTAATCCTTTATTTAAAGATCTTCACTTGCTTATTTTTCTCCATTCATAATCTGTATTAGAAAATGGCAGTCTCTTTGATCAGAAATAGCAAATCTCAGCTGGTGAGCTCACTTGACCATGTGAGGAGTGCTGTTTATACCTCCTTCCAGCCATTAGGGCAAGAGAAGCAGTCCAAGTCTGGCCCCAAATGGTTGTGTTTTGGTTTTGGTTTTGGTTTTATATTACATGTTCTCGGAGTCATTTGCTGGTCTCTGGTCCCGTCACTTTATACATCCTGTGAAGAGACATTTACTTAGCCGCATAATCCTAGCCCAGAGTATAGTTGTGAACAAAATGCCCTTGCTTCATGGAGCCTACGTTCTGTTGAAATATATTAGAGTAATGAAAGTATCCAAATACGCATTTTTCTGGGGTTGGAACAGGGTCTAGAAAATTCAAAAAAACCTTAGGTTTAAGTTTTTCATCCCATGTAAGTAAATTGCTCCTCTGCCTAAACAAACATGTGTTTTCACAGATCCTATCCCAGCAAAGAGGTGCTGCTCACGCGTTACACATTTAAGTAATTTAGAATGACTGTTGTTCGTGTTGCATATTTCCGGGATCAAGTTTTCTCTGTTTAAAAGTCTGCTTAATGTTTGAAACTGAGATAGAAACTTGATGTCTGTTTGAATAACGGAAATGAGTATGGCCGGTGTCTGTTTTATCAGATATAAAAAGTAAAATGACCAAAAATGTACCAGTCACAGTTGTGAGTACTTTACACCCAGCAGCTTGTTTGGTACTCATAAGAACCCTACGGATATTGTTTATCACCACATTTTACGGAACAGGAAATTGAGACACAGATAGGTTAAGTAACTTGACGAACATAGAACTGGTAAGTAGCAAAACTTGCAAAAGCAAATTTGTATCTCCAGAGTCATGTCTTCAGTGCTGTGCTGTATTGCCTTTCCAGACTAGCATGCCAAGGTAATAACAGTCAAGGAATCCGAGCTCTGCTCTGTGATCTCCATTATCTTTCCTTCTCATCCGTGTGGCTCAGTTTCCCTCCATACGTAAACTGTTTCTCATGCCATCAGTTCCTCGTATGTCGACTCTGTAAATTTTAGATGTAACAAGTTCTAGATTAAGCTGGTTACAGAAAGACGTCAGAGGCGTATAGTTGCTGCACGTTTTTAGGGCTGACAAGACAGTATCCTGATAGATATTGTTTCTTTTTGTCTTCGTTGGGTAGAAAAGAGTAGTTGAACAGCTACGGAAGAACCTGATAGTAAAGCAAGAACAACCAGACAAGTTCCAAATACAGCCATTGCCACAATCGGAAAACAAACTACAAACAGCACAGCAGCAACCACTGCAGCAGCTACAGCAACAACAGCAGTACCACCACCACCACGCCCAGTCAGCTGCACCCTCTCCCAACCTGACCGCTTCACAGGTAAAAGTGTGGGTGGGGTACCGCGGGCTTCCTGTGGTGGGCTCATCTCCTCTTGGTCATGTAGAGCTGGGGTCTGTGTAAGACAACACTGAGCCCCACTAGGACTAGACAGAAGTTGCTTTGGTTACTTTTTTTTATACTATGAACCGGGGCCAAAATCACTTGAAATTCATTGGCGGAAGGGAATGGTGTTACTAAGGCGCAGGAGTCACCTGATTGCCCACCTGCCTAAAGAAGAGGGGGAGCGTAGTCAGTGGCAGAGGAAAACCACTTCTCTGAATTAGAACAGAACTACGGTCTTACTTTGAATTTCTGGAAGTATTTTTTTTTTTTTTTTTTTTTTTTTTTTTTTTGCACTTGTTCTAAAAGTCCGTGTGACTCTGCCTCTTCTAGAATGGTTTTTCTGGAATTCTTAGCAGTGAGATGTGGGAATTCCAGGAGCGGCGCCTTTGGAATCAGGTAGAAAGACATTCAGAAGAAGGGTGATACATTTCCATTATTCAGAGAAACAAAATGAGCATATGAATCTGAAGGAAATCTGAAATGGATGCTGTAGGTCTAAACTAGAACTAAGAACTGGAGGCTTACTCACATTCTAACTTGGTACAGCCCTGCAGATGTTTGTACTGAAAAGGCCATTTAAACTAGACTATAAGGATAGAAAGGCAATCGAGATACACAAAAGGGACCTATTTGCGAACAAGGTTCGGTTAAGAACACTACTCAGGCTTGATCTCCACACACCTACGTGTAATGTGGGCTTACCTTTTAAAGTGGGACGGTCGAGCAGTGGCTCCTGCTTCGTAGGGGTCATGACCCCTTTAAGACTTCGTTGAAAGCTGTGGGTCCTCTCTCCAGAATGATACACATTCACACCTAATACACTCATTTTTGCACATGATTTCGAGGACATTGGGATGTTCTGAAGCCTAAGCATGAGTACCTCTCACCCACCAGTATCAAGTCTTCACTATATCTTTATATGTGGAGAAAAAGATTATAGTTTACCCGGTTATTCACTGTGTACGGACATTGGGCTGGTTCATCTGTAACATTTTGCAAGTGAAGAGTACATTACTTCTAAAAATACTAAAGATTATTAAAGAGAAGTAACATTTAGTGGAGGTTGCTATTTACTGCCACTCTCCTGAGTGCTTTACGTAAATAACATACACAGTCCTTACCTGAACCCTAAAAAGGCTATTATTATTATTATTATTATTATTATTATTATTATTATATTTTTGAGAAAAGAAAACCAAGGCATAGAGAGATTAATTACCGAAAGTCATAGAGGTGGTGTATGTGGTAGAGCCAAGATTTGAACCCAGATGTTCCGGTGAAAAAGTCTGTCCATCCATTGCTCTTCTGTACTGCCCTATAATACCAAAAAAAGAAATGCCAATGTTATAGAAAATGCCAAAGTAAGAAAAAGAGTAATTCCTTTGTAAATCAGATAGCTAGAGTATAAATTTTACCATCATCTCCACTTCAAGGCTATTTGAAAACGAGGCATCCAGACCCACTTTTAAAACCCCCTGGCCAGGATTTGTATTTCTTCCGAAGGACTGCTTATCAGATTACTTTTGTTGGAGTTGATTAGTTTGTTCTCTTGGAAAAATACAGTTTGATCAGAAAGTGTTTACATGGAAGGAGTGTGGTAGAATTCATTGTTTCCTAGTATGTGGGAGTTTTCTCTCTTAACCCGGGAACTTTCTGTTCAAGTAACACTCCCTGTCCTACAAATCAGAGGAAATACTTATGGAATACTTCCGATAGCTGTTCCCTTCCCTAGTAATCTCAGTTCTGTGCTGCTTTGGGATGGTGAGTGACGGTAAGGGGGCCAGGGGACCTGATATATTTAATAGATTTAGCTAAGCTTGTTTTATATTATTGTTTTGTGAAATGCAGACCTTTAATGTTAAAAGCCAAAAGACCCTCAAGTTTTTGGTTTCTGTCTTTACAGTAAACCGTCAATATTTGTTGGATGCTCTCGGTGTGCTAGATTCTGGTGGTCCTGGTCCCTGCCTAGAATCTAGTCTATTACCATCATTTTCATTCATTCTGTAAATATTTACTGGGTCTCTATTATATGCAAACACCGTACTAGGCAATGTGGAAGGTAGATTCACAAATAAGACAGAATCTCTGTCTTCGAGAATTTTGAAAGTTTAGAGGAGAGGAAACTGTAAACCACTAACAACGAAGAATACAATGAAAGTACCAGTGAGGATCTGTGAAAAGACCACAGGACAGAGTAATTTTAACTAGACGGATCAGAGATGCTTCATAAATGAGGTGGCATTTGAGCACGATGTGGACAGATGAATGCAATTTCAGTGAGGGGGCAGAGGGGGGAGAGCATCACAGATGTAGAGGACAGTGCGGACAAAAGCATGGAGTCACAACAGTAAATGCGTGCCCGAAGAACATCAAGGAGGCTGATGTGCTGCAGCATGGACTCTGGGAGAGAAAGGGAGAAAGAGGCTAGCTTGTAGAAGCCCTCCAATGCGGACAGAACCTTTGGGGTTTGGGGCAGTCATAGGGAGTCATTAACGGTTCGTGCCTCTGGGGCGCCTGGGTGGCGCAGCCGGTTAAGCGTCCGACTTCAGCCAGGTCACGATCTCGCGGTCCGTGGGTTCGAGCCCCGCGTCGGGCTCTGGGCTGATGGCTCAGAGCCTGGAGCCTGTTTCCGATTCTGTGTCTCCCTCTCTCTCTGCCCCTCCCCCGTTCATGCTCTGTCTCTCTCTGTCCCAAAAATAAATAAACGTTGAAAAAAAAAAACTAAAAAAAAAAAAAAAAAAAAAAG